ACCGGATTCCAAAAAAGTTGGGCCACTAAACAAATTGTGAATAAAAACTGAATGCAATGATGTGGAGGTGCAAACATCTAATATTTTATTCAGAATAGAACACAAATCACAGATCAAAAGTTTAAACTGAGAGAATGTATCATTTTAAGGGAAAAATCTGTTTTTTCCTAATTTCATGGCGTCAACAAATCCCAAAAAAGTTGGGACAAGTCCATTTTTACCACTGTGTGGCATCCCCCCTTCTTCTTACAACACTCAACAGACGTCTGGGGACAGAGGAGACCAGTTTCTCAAGTTTACAAGTAGGAATGCTCTCCCATTCATGTCTAATACAGGCCTCTAACTGTTCAATCGTCTTGGGCCTTCTTTGTCGCACCTTCCTCTTTATGATGCGCCAAATGTTCTCTATAGGTGAAAGATCTGGACTGCAGTCTGGCCATTTCAGTACCCGGATCCTTCTCTTAAGTAGCCATGATGTTGTGATTGCTGCAGAATGTGGTCTGGCATTATTGTGTTGAAAAATCCAGGGTCTTCCCTGAAAGAGATGACGTCTAGATGGGAGCATATGTTGTTCTAGAACCTGAACATAGTTCTCTGCATTAATGATGCCTTTCCAGACATGCAAGCTGCCCATGCCACAAGCGCTCATGCAACCCCATACCATCAGTGATGCAGGCTTCTGAACGGAGCGTTGATAACAACTTGGGCTATCCTTGTCCTCTCTGGTCCGGATGACATGGCGTCCCAGTGTTCCATAAAGAACTTCAAATCGTGACTCATCTGACCACAGAACAGTCTTCCATTTTGCCACACTCCATTTTAAATGACCCCTGGCCCAATGCAAATGTCTGAGCTTGTGGAGCTTGCTTAGAAATGGCTTCCTCTTTGCACTGTAGAGTTTCAGCTGGCAACGGCGGATGGCACGGTGGACTGTGTTCACTGACAATGTTTTCTGGAAGTATTCCTGAGCCCATTCTGTTATTTCCTTGACAGTGGCATTCCTGTTTGAGGTGCAGTGACATTTAAGGGCCCGGAGATCACGAGCATCCAGTAGTGTTTTACGGCCTTGACCCTTACGCACAGCGATTGTTCCAGATTCTCTGAATCTTTTGATGATGTTATGCACGGTTGATGATGATAACTTAAAAGTCTTTGATATTTTACTCTGGGTAACACCATTCTGGTATTGCTGCACTATCTGTCTGTGCAACAATGGTGGAATTGGTGATCCTCTTACCATCTTGGCTTCTGAGAGACACTGACACTCTGAGAAGCTCTTTTTATACTCAATCTGTTGTCAATTGACCTAATTAGTGTTAATTGGTTTTCCAGCTGTTCGTTATATGCTCAATTACCTTTTTTCCAGCCACTTATTGCTACTTGTCCCAACTTTTTGGGGATTTGTTGACACTGTGAAATTTTGAATCAACATATTTTTCCTTTAAAATGTTACAGTTACTCAGATTAAACGTTTGATCTGTCATCTATGTTATATTACGAATAAAATATTGACATTTGCCATCTCCACATCATTGCATTCAGTGTTTATTCACAATTTGTTTAGTGTCCCAACTTTTTTGGAATCCAGTTTGTGTGTGTATATTATATTTTTATATATATATATATATATATATATATATATATATATATATATATATAGAGAGAGAGAGAGAGAGAGACAGACAGACAGACAGAGACAGACAGACAGACAGAGACAGAGAGAGAGTTTTATTTATATATAGTTTATTTGTGAATAAATCACCTGTTTTGTTGGAGGTTTCTGTTCACACGATATCATCATCAGCTGCTTCTCTTTCTTGTGATACTTGCAGAAATATTTGACCCATGACACACCCAAAGCCCCTAATGTAGCAAACAAAACAAAACAAACAAGACAGGCTGTAAAATTTAGGGGAACAAATGACATTTTTGCATTGAAGGCTTGGCATGGTCCATGTCTTCCCTCAGCTCCCTGTCAATTTTGCACGTGGGCAGGATCATCATAGCAAAAGCTGGTTTGATGAATTTTTTTGCAACACCCAACAATTAAAAACATGGAGCTCGTGCTACTTCTGCTCGTCGTTCTTTCTCTCCTCAAAAACAAGTTAAAACAGAGCCAGAGAAGGCTGCGTGTTGCTGGAAGTAACCCAACAGAAAGGCGCATGAGCATGTCATACAGCAGGGTTAGGCCAAAGGCGAGACGCAGCAGGATGACATCAAATGTAATGCTAATGCTAGCCAGTGTTAGCTATTTACAGTCATTTAACGCCGTGTACAACCAGGTCAGTGAACCAAACAATGACCTCCAGTCAACTGACTTTAAATCTTCTGCAGAGTCAGCACGCATGGAATCCCAGGTCCATGTGGGAAAGAGGGCTGGACTGCTCAGCCTGAGCAGGAACCAGGTGTAACAGCCCCTGCAAAGATTAAACCTTGTCCCAGGCCAGAGTATACCCTGGAGGATAAACTGTCCTAGGCCAAACTGTCACTGTAAAATAGTTTAGGCCAGACTATTCAGAATAATTTTTATTGGCCAAATTTGTGTGCACAGACAACTTCGATTTCAAGCGCTCACAGCGTACAGTCATCACGTATAACTTTTTGTTCCATTTATTTACACAGGTTAGTCTCACTGAGTCATGAGGACTCACTTTCAAGAGAGATCTGTATAAAATAAACTATGTATATGTATTAGCATATTAATGCTTTCATTAATGCACTGAAGGAAAATCCCCTCAAGGCCAGAACAGGCCTGCAGCGATAAACAATAAATCAATTAATCGTGTGATAAATGAAAATTATCGACCTAATTTTCATTTATTGGCTTTATTGTTTCTTCGTGTCTCTCTCGTTCTACTGAAGACACTGGATGACAAAAAGCTCAACTCCGGTGCTCTTCACTGACCCCTTCCTTTCTCTTTCAAATCCATTTTAACCAACTAAAATCACGTTTTTGGATCGTTAAACGCAGCTAAGCTGAGAAGCTAAGCTATGAGCTAAGCTAACAGGTCGACCACGGGAAAAGACCTCCGTCTTGTCGAAGCTTCAAAATTCACGGTTAAAACCCATGCCTTCGTGTAAAAAAATTACTTTTCTCTGTAAAAAGAAGCGGAGAACTTGCTTGCAAATTTTTTATTAAAAGCTTTGTGTGACAAATGCTGTGCTAAAGAGCTCACACCAAGTGTCCGCTATTTTGAGAACCGAATAAAGGAAGGAGAGACAGCCCATGTTATGTCAAGGGGCCTTCCTCCCATTTTTCTTAAAGAGACACACTGCTCGCTCCCTCACTATCCATCCTTCGGTTCAAACAGTCTTATACTGTCATCCAGTGGTCAAAAAAGGTAAGAAAAAAACCAAACATTTCTTCTTAAATTTGACAGTAATTACTAACCATTGTCAAATTTTAACAAATATTATCGTTTATCGCAATAATTTCTGAGACAATTAATCGCCCAGCAAAATTTGTTATTGTGACAGGCCTAGGACAGAATATACCCATCTATAACCATATAAACCAGTAATCTGGCCTGGCCAGTACTAAATGTTTACACTTTTAGAATTTAAGTCACTTAGCTTTCTCATTTAACTTACTGGACTAAGCTAAACCCCCAATAAAAGTTTAAAATTTTAGGTAATTATTGTGTATATGACTCAACAATACTGATATCATGGTGGTATAATCTGACCTGAGGAGTATGAATAGGACAATTTATAGCCTGGAGTATAAATTGGCCTAGGTCAAAGTATACCTAGGTATAATCTAATCCGAAGGGCCAAGATGGGGTAGAGGTAGGGCAGCCGACTTGGGACCTGAATGTCGTGGTTCGACTCCCAGCCGTTCCCACATGTCATGGTGTCCCTGAGCAAGACACACAATCCCTAATTGCTCCCTGGGTGCTTACATAGCTGCCCACTGCTCCATCTGGGTGTATCTCAGTTGTGATGGGTTAAATGCAGAGAACCAATGTCATCATTGTAAGGGGACATACAATGACGACAACATATAGCACTTATATATCCCTTTAACTCCTGGTATATTCTGGAATGGGGGTATACTATGACCTGCTTGACCAGGAGGACCAGGCCTTGCAATGCAAAAGGTCCAAAAGAAAGGTTGCATAAAACAAAACACACCTGTTTAAATATGGGGTAAACTTACTCTTCTCCTGACAGTATAAATAACCCTCCATTGGCAAAAACTTCTGCATTTTAGAAATCTGGAAAGGATTTTTCATTCTTTTCATCAGCTCCTCCAGCTCTTCCCGAGTACTCTCATAGTGGTTTCTTGTCTGTCAAATAATCAGAGGGCACTTAAAGTATCCAGTTATTTGACAGTAAAAAATCCCCAAATTACCAGGAGAGCCACTTACGTTCTGCAAGCTCAGCTGCAGCTCCTGCTTGTACGGCATGAAGTCCTGAGTCATCTCCACTGTCAGGTTGTTGAGCGTTAAAATGCTTTGAAGGAACGCCAGCACCTGTCCAACAGAAAAGGGAAAGCCATATTTCAAACCGCTGTAAGAAGACTACACATATGAGAGCAATAAAAGACCTCTTCCCCTCATATGTGGCGACAAAGAGGAAGAGTGGAGACCACAGGCAATACTCACCGGCTCCACCACGTCAAACTTCTTCTTGTCCTGTACCTGGTGGATCTGGTAGACGTACTCCACTGAAGATTCGTAGAAATTCACCCGCTCTTTGTCGAGAAGGTCATCAGCCTTCAGAGACAACAAGGACGTATTATTAAAGTAACAAAAACAGTCATTACCGGTTTTAAACTTCATCATAGGATTGATGCAAACACTTGTAATTCATGCAAACCTCTTGAAGTGAACTCTCCTTCTTCTTGGCAGAAAGACTCAAGTGCTTATCTAACATGGAGTAATACTTTTCACTCTGTTTCTCAAAGTTCTTCTTCTTCTCCTGCAGGATACACATGTGAAGATTATTATATATTATAGATATGTTGGTAAGATCAGATCAAGAAGAATTTATAAACTAGAGCTCGAATAAAGGAAGACAAAAACAAAAACAGTCTCTTTACGTGAATCATGAACAGACTTCTGAAACCAAAGCATGTGAATATGTCTCTCCTCATTATTAGTTTTCAGGCTATAAATATTTCTTGATGCAACATAAAAAAACATTTTCACTCCACAGCACATAATTCAATAAATATCTGATCAAATTTGGCTACTGAAAAAGTCCCAAAAAGAACGTTTCATGTCAAATTTTGTTACGAGTGTTTGGTTTCTTAATCATTTATTTTCCAATCCCTAATTCAAATTGAAGAAGTCCGTTGGATGACGGACGAAATGTCTCAGCAAAATAAAAGAAACCGTCCAGATGACCTGACTGAACATTGTTGGATTTTATACCTGGATTATTGAGCATAAACTTTGGTGTTTTGAACCACTTTGACATTACTGTCTCAGAGGAGTTGACGAGGGAGAGGGTGGGCCCCGGAGGAGGGGGCAGGCCTCGGAGGCCATCTTAGCACCAGCAAACTGTTATTTTCCACTAGGCAGTATGCTGTTTGTGGAGAATCAGTTTTGTTTTGGTTTCTCCTCCGATTGAATAAGTCTGTTGGATGACCGATGTAACGAAACGACTCAGCAAAAAGAAACCGTCCAGATGACCTGACAGAACATTGTTGGATTTTATACCTGGATTGTTGAGCATGAACTTTAGTAAAGAGATGTAAAAAAACGTTTTTTCAATAAACCCTAAAATATTGCTGATTAAGCTAAAAGGTATACTAAATGCAATGGTGGGCACAGCTAACCAAATTGTTAGCTTCTCTAACACATATTCTGCAAACTTTAAAAAATGCACTGCTAATGCTACATTAGCGGAAGCTAACGCTAAACCGTTAAGACGCTAGTCTGCGTCACACACCTTCATCTCCTTCTAGTTTAAGTTGCATCGACCAATCACATCTTGTCACGTGTACACGTAGTAAGCTAATAGCGTGCCTAACAGACTCTTCGAGACACGCTCACAACAGGAAGGAACAAGCTTGTGAATGTTGTTAGCAGGACTTAAAGTTGGTGAAACCTAATTTAGCGGAAGCTAATTCTGCTAACGGTGTTCAAAGATAGAAAGATATTGTTTTTATGCTACTAGTGCTTAGCGTATTTTTAGTTGATGTTTTTCTTAGTTTATGTCTTAGATCTTATTACTGTTTTTCTTTTACATTTTATTGTTGGATGTAACTGGGACCCTGTGTACACAATTTCACTCCACCACAAGTACCAAATGTGGTGTGAATAATAAAGAAACTCTGACTCTGACTAGCTGTTAGCAGATTAGTATAACTGTTCCCACCACTAGGTAAATGAAAGTTGCCATCTGAACAGTTAGCTTAAGCTAGAAAAAGGCTAACAGCAGCAAGCTAACACTATTAAAATTGATGAATCAATACATTTATCCAAAAGGGACTGTGGAGAAAAATGAAATTATGTAGGAATTAAACTGTGCTGGTCTGAGCTCAACTTGCTGTGAGTACTTTAGAGAACTGTCACACATTCATTTTGGGGGTTATTAGGTGTCATTTGTGTTTAAAAACACAATTTAAATAATATCAAACCTTTAGAGGAAACTGGAAGAAAGTATCTCAAGTTCAAGTTTCTTTAATGTCATTCGCATTCGCGTGGATCGTGGTACAAGAGGTGGAACGAAATTGTGTACTCGAGGTCCCAGTTACACCGAAAAATAGCAAAAATATAAAGTATAAAAAGAAACAGTATATAAGGTTCTAAGACATACACTAAACGGACGCTAAACAATAGGCTAAAGATCCAAGATATATGCAAAACACCAATAATGTAAAATAATACGGTATATTAAACAGCAGCCCGAACATGAGTCTGCAGTGAGCAGATGGGTATGAATGAATAAGGTATGGGTATGATGGGTGTGAATGAATCCCACTACATGCCTTAAGATTAGGAGCAGAAAATCAGCTTTAAAGTCTAAACAAGTGGTATGCTTATGTCCCTTGTCGCTAAGGGATTTAAACCTGAATGTTTGTAGGGTAGTTAATAATAATAATAATAATGAATTTCATTTGTAACGCACTTTTCATCAAAAAAAATCTCAAAGTGCTACAGAGTGCAACTAAAATCAATGATAAAATCAACTCAAATCAGTGATACAATCATGTGGAGGCAGAACAGGCTTGCTTAAAAAGAAAAGTCTTTAAGCCTTTTTAAAAGTCAGTCAATGATTGTGGAGCTCTCAGATATTCAGGGAGGGAGTTCCAGAGGCGGGGGGCAGCCACACAGAATGCCCCATCTCCCATGGTCCTTAATTTAGTTCGTGGAAGGAGAAGGAGATTACTGTTCTGTGATCGTAGGGACCAGGTGGATGAATATGGAGCAAGAAAGTCTTTCAGATAATATGGTGAATTTCCATTTAAACACTGATGGGTAATGAGAGCAATTTTGTGAATGAATTCTGTAGGTGACAGGAAGCCAGTGGAGGTTATGGAGAATGGGTGTAATATGTACAAATTTACGAGCTCTCAATAAGATCCTGGCTGCACTGTTTTGAATATATTGAAGCTTCTGAAGGTTTTTGCCAGGTATTCCAGTAAACAGGGAGTTGCAGTAGTTGAGCCTGGAGGAGACAAAGGCATGGACGAGTTTCTCTGCATCAGCAAAAGTGAGAGATGGGCGAAGTTTTGGAGATATTTCCAAATTTCCAACTCCATATTAGTTACTGAGATGAGTGTTTTTCTGGACTGGAATACATTATTTATTAACCTTTATTTAACCAGACAAATCCCACTGAGACCACAGATCTCATTTGTAAGGGAGGCCTGGCCCTGAAGACAACATAACATGCATGTTTTTGAACTGTGCCCACACAAACACGAGGACACCGTGCAATCTTCACACCGAAATACCACAGGTCCAAACCTGGATTGAACCCTAGACCTTCTTGCTGTGAGTTAACAGTACTAACCAGTACTAACCACTACTCCACTGTGCTGCCCACAACAAAGGTATGTTTGATTTTTGTTGTCCAAGGCAGAGGAAAGTGATGGATACTGGTGAGTGAAGGAAGCAATTTTATCCACCACCAGGAGCAAAGGCGGATCCAGGGGGTGGCCAATGGTGGCCTTGGTCACCGTAAATAAATCATCAGCACCCTTTCCAAAAAATTAGAATATCAAGGAAACGTTGTTTAACTTCCAACATTTTTCAGTCAGGTCATCTGGACGGTTTATTTTTTATTTTTGGTGCTGAAACGTTTCGCCTTCAGTCCGGAAGGCTTCATCAGTCAAGGAAATACACAACAAAACTGATTCTTCCCCCAACAGCTTACTCCAAAGTGGAACAAACCAGTTCTGCTTGTGATAAGATGGTCTCTTTGGTACGCCCCCTCCTCCATTGCCGGCCCTTTTCCTTGTTGACAGTCTTGTCAAACTGGTTGAAAACAACAAAGTCCATGCTCAATAATCCAGGTATACAATCCAACATTTTTCAGTCGGGTCATGTGGACAGTTTCTTACCAGCAGAACAACAGAACTGGTTTGTTCCACTTTGGAGTAAGCTGTTGGGGAAGAATCAGTTTTGTTGTGTGTTTCCTTGACTGATGAAGCCTTCCGGACCGAAGGCAAAACGTCTCAGGACAACAACAAAAAAAAAAGAAACTGTCCAAAGGACCCGACTGAAAAATGTTGGATTGTATACCTGGATTATTGAGCATGGACTTTGTTGTTTAACTTCCATAATTCCATTCAAAAAGTTAATCTTTAATAGATGATAGATTCAGGGCCCACAATTTAAACAATTTCAAGTATTTATTTGTTTATTTTTACATAATTTGGGCTTCCAGCTCATGAAACTCACGAAAACAGTAATTCAAAAAATTAGAATACTGTGAAGACACACACTACCCAGTTTTTGAAAAAAAAAAAAAAAAAAGAAGAAGAAATTAGGATCACAACAAATCAATCAAAATATGGTACTTTCAAAACGACATGTCAATCTTCAAACTTGGTTGGGAATCCCTTTGCCTTAATCACTGCCTCGATGTGACGTGGCATTGAGGCAATCAGCCTGTGGCATTGACTGGGAGTTAAGGAAGCCCAGATTTCCTTGATACTTGCTCTCAGCTCTTCTTTGTTGTTGGGTCTGGTGTCCCTCATTTTCCTCTTGAGAATACCCCATAGATTCTCAATGGGGTTTAGGTCTGGCGAGTTGGCTGGCCAGTCAAGCACTGTGGCATGGGCATCAAACCAGGTTTTGGTGCTTCTGGCAGCATGGGCAGGGGCCAGGTCCTGCTGGAAGATGAAATCTGCATCTCCATACAGATCCTCAGCAGTAGAAATCATGAAGTCCTCTAAAACATTCTGGTAGACTGTTGTGGTGACCTTGGATTTAAGAAAGCAGAGTTTACCAACACCTGCTCTGGACATTGCACCCCAAATCATGACTGACTGTGGATATTTCACACTGGACCTCAAGCAGTATGGGTTCTTCTTCCTCCAAACCCTTGGACCTTGATTTCCGAATGAAAGGCACTCTTTACTTTCATCGGAAAAGAGGACCGAGGAACCCGACAGTTGTAGCCCATCTCCCAGATGTAGCCCATCTCCCAGATGCATTTGAATGTGGTGGTTTTTGAAGCTGTGACTCCTGCCTCATTCTACTCTTTCTGGATCTCTGACAGATTCTGGAATCTTCTCTGTTTGATAATCTGCTGAAGCTCACGGTCATCTCTTTTGCTGGTGCATCTTCTCCTGCCACATTTTGCCCTTCCACTAGACTTTCCATTGATATGCTTGGACACAGCACTCTGTGAACAGCCAGCCTCCTTAGCTATGAACTTTTGTGTCTTACCCATCCTATGGAGGGTATCAATGATGGTCTTCTGGCCAGTTGTTGTCTGCAGTATTCCCCATATTGAACCAAACTGAAGCAAGTTAATGAAACCTGGGGAAACCTGTGCAGGTGCTTTGAGTTTAGTAGATGATTAGTGTATCACACTCAGTTTAAAACATTCATGTCCTGCAACATTTGGGCTGATTTCTTCACAGTATTCTAATTCTTTGAAATCCTGTTTTCGTAAGTTTCATGAGCTGGAAGCCCAAATTATGTAAAAATAAACAAATAAATACTTGAAATGGTTTAAATTGTGGGCCCCGAATCTATCATCTATTAAAGATTAACTTTTTGAATGGAATTATGGGAGTTTAACAACTTTTCCATGATATTCTAATTTTTGGAAAGGGTCTGTATATACATACACACATATTGTTTCCCCTACCATTATACAAGCAGGGCGCCACGCCCCATCAACGGCACCGAGCACCCCACCCCGCTGACAACTGACGACACTGATGTAGCGTGGGGCGCAATACAAACACGTTAGCAAAAATGCTACTGACGTACCACTACACCGGCAGCAACGTAGCGTTAAGTTAGCAGGCGGGCAACACAGACATGTCTCCGTCCCGTACTCCTCCACCCACACCCATCCCCCAAGCCCTCCACCCCCCACGTCAACAAAAATAAACTACAACAAGCACCCTGCCAAGGGAACTGATCAAGGAGAAACACTGAAATCTATACAGATATATAGGATATATATATACATATATATAGGATTTTAACGTGGTAGCCCCATTTTCAATAGTGATCTATTTTACACCTGGATGTAGCCACACACCAAAATGGAAGTTGGTACCTCACTTATTTATCACGTTGTCCAGCTCACAACACAGACGAACGGAGAGCATTTCCAATTCCTCTCTTTGATCTATGGACTTTAATACTGCAATCCTATTGTACTTTGACCAAGTACAAGAGTCAGAAAAATCTTGGAAACTCCTACAGTATATAAATATTGGCCATAATACACCTCAAAAGGGATTTTTTTTTTAAGTTACAAACCTCTAATTTCTAAAGGACAAAAATGTTAAACAGATGTAGTTTATAAAAAGAAAGAATGGAGTTGTACCTTGTTTTGCTTAGAGAGAAATATCTTACCAACAACTTGGGTGTGTGCACAGATAAATGGTTTTGGAGAAGTAGTTAGGACATCCTGTTTGGTGCGTAGAAGTAGTTAAACGTATATACTCACTGTGGGAAGACAAATGTCTAACAACAAACTTACTGAAACACAAGGGTGCTTCCTGTTCTGACCCAAGACCCAGCTTCTTTTGTTCACAGGACAGAGACAGTTCATGTTTAAAGCAGAAGAGCACTCACCTTCGTCGCTCCTATCTGCTCCTTTCTGAAGTTCTCCAAGGGTTTAATGAGCAGATTGGATGCGTTTTGAACCTGCACGGAAAATTACAAAAATCAGTTTTTACTTCTTTGACAAAATCAAATAATCTGCGCCACTAAAACGCAGTGAGAACCTTAATTTTTAGCAGGTTTTACTTGTAGAGTTGAGTTTTAAAGGGAAAAATATCAAAAATAAATAGAAAATATTCCCAGAAGGTGCTGTGCTTTCACTTTAAATCCAAACCATGACCTGCAGTTTAAAAATAATTATTTGCACTCAGAGAATCCAGTCCAACCAGTAAAACTCCTATATTTAAAGGCCTGAATGAATGGTGTGCACTGAGCCTCCACTTTATTTTACTCAGCAGGAGTCCGAGCTATCAAGACTTCACAAAAACAGATCAACACTAGAAGAATATTGAGTATTTAAACAAAAAAGGAACAAAAACAAGCTAAGAGGGGAACAAAAACCACAATAAACAGCAGAATTGCTTCAAACGTTACTGCATGATGTTGCGTAACAAACATCTGATGACTAAAATAAAGAAGTAGTTCCTGCAGACGGCTTCATGCTAAACAGAAAATCAGTAAATGCGCAGAGCAGAATACATTTTGTTGTGACAGATGTGTTAATGTGGTTTGATGGTTGGAGTAGGATGTGCTTGGGGGGAAGCTGATATAACCCACCAGCATCATCCTGTCGTGCTCCACTTCCTGCAGGAGTCCGGCAAACTCCTGGAATGACTCAGCTGTGGGAAAAAAAGCCACACAATAAAGAAACGTGTCGATTCAGCTGTCAGGAAACTTTTAAAACAATACAAGGCCGGGCTGAGGATAAGCAGAATTATCATTCCTGCAGCTGTTATAAAAACCACACTCGTCAGGAGAATTGTTGTCGTTTACATATTTACTCCTCCAGAACCCATTGCTGAATCCTGGATTTTCATAATTATGCAGAATGACTGAGAAAACTAAAACCTGTAGAATAACGCATTTGGACGCGTCACGTTTTAATTTATTATTGCGCATTAACGGCGTGCTACTCTGAACGTTTGTAATATCCCACCAATGTTAATCTCGTCGTCCGTCAGGGAGTCGCCAAGGAAGTCGAACTGGAACACGCTGAGAGTCTGGGAAAACTTCTGCAACGCCAGAGAATAGCCTGTTTACAACAGAAAATGATGTTTTTTATTAAAAACACAAAGACAATGCTGACTTGTTGCTAACAGACACATGCATTAATTCATGTACTGTGCTTTAAATTCAAACCTAGCCTTGTGCTAGCTTATTATCGCCTGCCACCAACAGGTAAAAGGCCAGTAATGTTACTGCCTGTGTATGTCTGTTAGCAAAATATCTCATGGATTTTAATGAAATTCTCAGATATTAATTATTAGATGTACATCTACAAAGGATTACCACTTAGAGTCAATCCAATTAAAGATGGCCACCACAACCAGTTGAGATTAAAAAACACAAAAATGTCTGAAACTCATTCAGTTGTACAGATACTGACCTAAACTTTAGGGTGGAAGCAGCTGAGAGTGACTCACAACACATACTTCAAGTGTTACTTTTTGCACACTATATTTGCTTAAACTTTTGCGATTAACTATTGGTGTCAACGTGGTCTGTCTGTTAGCAAAATATCTTCTGAGGCACTGGACAGATTTTAAGGAAACTCAAAAAGTAATCCTTGGATATATGTGTGAGTCAATCTAATTCAAGATGGCTGCCAAAGCACAAAAATTGACTGTGATTCAGCCAGTTTGGCCAATACCGAGCTAAAATTTGGGATGGGAGTAGTTGACTCTCAGGTCTTGCGAGATGTCACAACACAGCAAGTGACTGTGTGTAACATAATTCACAGGGTTTGTCCAAAAGAGCTAGAGCTCCATCCCTTCTCGGCGCAAGACAGTCTCAGTCCAACAGGATGGCGGGCAACATGCAAACCGTCTTTAACTGGAACTGCATTTTCCTCTCTCGAAGGGAAGCTTAAAGCCTGGACGGGATCTTTGGCGGGATCCTGCAGCCCAGCAGCTGCCAGCAAGAGGTCGATCCAACAATACTCTCGCTGCTACGCCTGGCTTTTATTACCCAGCCAGAACCAGGCCTGTCGGATCAATACAGAGCAGCATTCAGCCTCAGGAATTTGGCTGGAGCTGCTCTCCTCATAAATCCTTTTGCAAAAGCGAGGCTTTAAATCTTTTTGCGTCTCCAAATGTGGCTTTGAGGGTTTAAAGTAGAAGACCTGCAGCTGAAACTAAAAATAAGAAACTCCAGGGCCTGACGAGCAGATTCTGAACTGTTCCTGCAGGTTCTGTTGGTGGGGTTTGACCTCTGACCTCTACCTGGTCACCACCTGCAGCAGGATGGCAGCTTCTGCTGTTGAGGACATGAAAGCTGCAGGATTTCCAGAGGACCTGACCCAGCTGTGCCACTGGTTCAGAACCATCAGCTGGTCCCAGCACACTGACACACACTGTGGGAGGCGGAAAATATGCTTTGCGGGGTTTAGTCATGCTGCAGGCCCAGTAAAAGGCCCAGCAATAAGCCATAAATGAGCGGAGGTTGGTGAAGCCTGCTCACCCTTGATTGCAGTGATCACGCTGTTGCCATCTTTGATCAGCTCCTTCAGAAACTTGTTCGTCCGTTCCAGCTCCAACTCGTAACACTTGAGGGTCTCCCTGAAGTCCGGGCTGTCGCTGTAGCACTCGCTGAACTCGAGAGGAGGGTGACCCATCTTCTTCTGAGCAGGTTTCGCTTCAGCCAGCAGGACGAACCGGGTTTTTGAACGCAGCCTCCGCGCGACTAGCTGCTCGTTTCTGCTCCGAACCGCTCAAAAACCAAAACCATGGTGTCCGGGGGAGCCCGCGACGGCCGCAGGCGGACTACGAAGACAAATAATCAGTCAAACAACTCCGTTTTAGCGTCGCTGACCTCCCTTTTTTTAACCCGACGATTTGTTTACGCTTCGGTTTAATTCTATCCTGCTCCTCTTTGCCACTTTTTCCTCGTTATAAGTGCCGTAAAGGAAATCCCGCTCTGGACGCGTTCCATTACAAAGCATCACCCCCTTTTGCAAATCCTCTTCCGGTCCATCTGTCAGTTTGAGATACTTTGAACGTTTAACTCCCATGAATAACCTTTAAAAAATAATAAATTGGAGTTAGTTTGTGATCATTACTAAAAAAAATCCACATTTAAACCGCTTTATGTCGCTTAGTGATTAACAAGAGTGTAGCAGAAAACGAAATGGAACGAGACCGGTTAGCTACAGAAACAAAAAAAAAACCTTCCCATTTTCCACACCCAAGAGGTTCTTAAAGACAGACAGACAGACAGATCTGATTTATTTAGGTTTAATGAACAAAAAGTGTTAACTTTTTCAGAGTATTTAATTATTCATTACTGTAGAAATATTCTTGATTTTATTATTTCATTTTAAAAAGGACATTACACATTAATAGAAAAATAGTAAACATTGCAGAGCTGCCCATATTGCTGCTTTTCATATGGTGACCTTTCACAATGACAGGAGCAATAAATACAAATTGAAACCAACAAACAATAAACATCAATAAATAAATAAAATCAGCAATAAATTAAAAAAGATCATTGTACTGTGTGTGTGTGTGTGTGTGTAT